TGTTTTTGTGCCAGTACCATGCTGTTTTGGTTACTACAGCTTTGTAGTATATTTTGAAATCAGGGAGTGTGATACCTCCAGCTTTGTTCTTTTTTCTCAGGATTCCTTTTTAGAATCAGAATTCAGAATTTCTTTTTAGGTTTTCTATTTCTATAGATATTCCCATTTTGTTTATACATTGTTTTTTCCTACTTTCTCCATATCTTCCTTTAGTTATTTGAGCATCTTTAAGATGTTTGTTTAAAGTCTTTGTCTAGTAGTTTTGTCCTCTGGTCTTTCTCCAGGATGATTACTGTTGGTTTATGGGCCTTACTTCCTGTTTCTTTGTATCCCTTGTGATTTTTTGTTGTTGTTGAATACTGGATACATGAATCGAATAATGTGGTAAACGTGAAAATCGGATTCTCCCTCTTCCTCAGGGTTGCTGGAGGTTTTTTTGTTTGTTTTGTTTTTTGATTGTTGTAGGCTGTCTCTGTGCTGAGAATCAACCTGAGGTATAAACTTAGGCTCTCCTCAGGTCTTTTCTGAGCTTTTGCCTTCTCCTGAGCATGTGTGTTGCCTTTCTGAATTACCCTGTTCCTAGGTCTTTAATGTCTGACTCCTAAAAGGAGAAAAAGAAAAAAATGAAAGGAGACAGGGAAAAAAAGGCACCAGCCTGAGGGGGTGTGCAACAGAGGCTGCCTGCCTCTGTCAGCTCCTCAGTGATCAGAAGTAGCAATCAGCTGTCAGACAGAGATCCTTGGTATTTGGATGGCAAGATTCTTCTTGCCCACCTTGGCTCCTACAGGCTTTTCTTAGAACTAATGCACAGCCCCATGGCGCAGAGCTGGGGGATGGAGGATGGGTAGCCGTTGCTGAGCTAAGAGCTAAAATTGACTGAAATTAACCAAAATTTATAGTCCAAGCCTTCCTCTGGAAGTTTCAAGCCTTGGAAGACTCCAGAGTTCTAAAATAGTTACATGAGACAGATTCTGCTAGTACAGTTGTTGTCTACGTGGAGGGACAGATTCTTGGTGCTTCCTACTCCTCCATCCTCCCAGAATCTTCTCATAACTTTACAAAAAGAGTTTCATTATAATTTAGAAGAGTTGTTATCTTTTTCTCTTTGGTTTTCAGGAACTCCAGAACAGTAAGTTCATTGTAACTCAACGCAAATACATTTGAGGCCTTTTATTTAGCTTTCAAGTCTAGATACATTTGAGGCCTTTTATTTAGCTTTCAAGTCTAGATAGCAAGTGCTTAAAGGAGGAACTCATATTTCTGATACTTTTTTTTCCCTAGGGAGAAAACTAAATGCTTCCAACTGAAAGAGGGTGAGAGTGGAAACAGACTACTTAAGGAGGCATATGCCTTTATTACTACTACTAGTGGTAGTGAGAATGGCGATACATGGATTTGTTTGAGTCTGTGAGGGAGGTAAAAAGGAGATGTCTTGAGATGTGGGGGTTGACTGCCTGGGATTCATTAATCCAGGTAACTGGATTAGTGGTGGTTTATTTGCTGAATTATAGAATACAGAAGCAGAAACTTTGTAGGGCAAGGTAGTTAAGTGTGAGGTGCCTATGGAGTAGACAAGCACAATGATTTAGAATTTACAAAACATTTTCATACCTAGGAATTTTAAGTAATAGTGTACTGGTTGGTTCCCTGTAACTCTAGTAGGTCCCATGGCATGCATGGGCCAAAAGGATAATGGGAGGTACAGTAAACTTTAATAGGGCTAAGTGGTAAAGTCCTAGAACTGCTTTTGAATAAAAATTACATAAGCACATAGAAGACATGAGGAAGAGTTAGAATTAAGTGCAACAGTTAATATGAAAAATACTCAAATGTTGTGATTAATTGTGTGTTAAATATGTCTGGGATTTCAGGTGACCACAGTTTGGTTGTGTCAGGAGAATATGTCTGCTAAAAGTGATGACACAATCTAAACCTCATTTGTACTGTACAGCATGGGGAAATGATAGTTCCACTGTCCCCTGTGCTGTATATATTCTTTTGGAAATATGTACAACTCAGAGTGACACTAAGACAGTAATTATAGAGTATGTTAAAAGTAAAGAGTGGACTAGTGAGGGGTTAGTCTATGAAAAAATTAGAAAACACAATACAAATCTGGTTTTGTTTAGTCCATAAAATTTAAGGGGAAACTTAGATCATAGTTTTGCTGCTCAAGAGACTTTCTGTTATTATCTGATTCAGTTCCCCTATTTTGCAGATAAGAAAATGGAGTTTCAGGGAAGTTGATATGACATTCCCTGAGTCATAGCTAATGGCACACCAGTGTCTAGAACTCAAGTATGTGGTTAGAAAGGAAATTGAATGTATTGTAAGCATATTTTATTTATAGAAGCAGGACTGGGCCTAGGGTGAGGCAAGCAAGTTGCCTAGGGTACAGAATTGAAGGAGGCACTCACTCTTAGGTGCAGACCCGGCACTTGCAAGATCCTTATTTATCAAAGTAATATATGAACGTGGTTTAAAATGTCAAATAGTGCCTTTACTTCAGATTATCCTGTAATTTTTTATTTTCCCCATTGTGGGATTCTTATCCATGTTGTTTCATTAGTAAGAGTGTTTAACAATTAAAATTACTTGACAAGATAGATTGGTAAAGATAAAACACTGAATGGAATAAAATCATCTTATGAATTGCCTTGTCTTTTTGTGTTACTTATAGCATATTGAAGTTAGTTATTTGGGGATTTTTGCCCCCTTTATTGTTTACTGAGAGAGCCATAGCCCAACCAAACTTCCGGAGTTAGTCACTTGGGTATTGTCACTCTGCTGATTTTTATCAGAAACAGGAAATTGTCAAGTTGCGTGTTACAGTATAGCAGATTCTAAAATTGCATTTGTATTAGCATGAGAGTTTTCCTTTTAGAATTTTCTTATGTCACTAGCTGGTTCCTTACTTGATCCTCAGAATATAACAGCTGGCTTGCTAAAAATGATCATATTTATCATGACCTATATACATGGCAAACAGTGCCCTTCCTCATAGTTTACATATCATACACAATATGATTGATACAGTGATTTGACAAACTTAGTGTCATTAATATATAGATACACCTAATGAATTCGTAAAAGTAGGTTGGAGAAGAACATATTTTTACGTGTTTGGCCTGATATAATTCTCATATTTAGATTAACAGTCCTCTAAAGGTTTCTGAGGTGGACGGACCTTTTAGGGAATCTACAGGGCCAAAATTGTTTTCAATACTGGGATGTTAATTTCCGTTTTCACTCTGGAGTTTCCAGAGGCTGCATGAAATCCAATGATATTTTATAATAAGATGTCAACATTTGGAAAAGCTGTGAAACTCAGTAAATTTATATTGCGGGATGTTACAAAATCATACATGAGTAAAAACAGGTCCATTTAAAGTAGAAGACCAATGAATGTTTTATGCTGTATATTTATTTTAGTTTACATAGAATAAGATTCACACATTTTGGAGTGTGAATGAGATTTGAGACATACTTAGAGTTATGTAATCACTATTACAATCTAAATACACAAGAGTTCCTTCACCCTCTCTCAAGAAAAAAAAATCCCTTGCTTTGTAATCAGACTCTGCCCCCACCATTAACCTGTGAAAACCACCCATCTGTTCTCTGTCCCTATAGTTTTGTCTTTTCCAGAATGTCATTTAAAGCCTTTTGAGTCTGGCTCAATAGGTTTCTGGGTCATATGGTAAGTGTATGTTTAACTTTAGAAGAACCTGCCAAACTGTTACCCGTAGTGGCTGTAATTTGCATTCCCACATGCAGTGTATGAGTTCCAGTTGCTCTGCATCTTCTTTGGCACCTGGTACTGTCAGTTTGTGTGTTTCCTTCTTTCTCTCTCTCTCTCTCCCCCCCTCTCTCTCCCCCTCCCACCCCTTACTTTCTTCTCCATCTCTCTTTTTAAGCCATTTAATAGCTGTGTAGTGAGATCATTTTGTGGTTTTAATTTTCATTTCTGTAATTATTAATGATGTTGAGGATGTTTTCATGTGTTTATATGCCATCCATATAGGTTCTTTGGTGAAATATCTGTGCAAATATTTTGTCCATTTAAAAATATTTTTGCCACATGGCTTTGCTGGGTGCAGCCTGAGGCAGTTCTCCCTGGGGTGGAATTACACACCAGTGACTCTACTGGCTTTGGGTTGGGAGTCGTCTGGCCTGTTGAAATCCAGATGATGTCCTCTTTTGAAGGGAGGCAGCCTTAATGATCTCTGAATTGCTTTTGGCATCCTTCCCTTGTCTTGAAGGCTATCTCAAGTTCATAGCTGAATAGATCTATATGGTCCCATCCTGTAAAATCTGAGAAAGCTGATAATCTTCCTTCATTCCTTTCTGTCTTTTTCCAGTTCAAATTGACTGTTTCCTGCTGGGGTGGCTGATTAAGTCCAGTGTTCAAACCAACACTGATCTCTTTATCAAAGGGTCTCTTGGCCCATACATACCCTTAGTGTTCTGTTCTTAACATGCTTCCTCTTTTTTTGCAATATGGATAGGCTGAGCATTTTCCAACTTTTAAATTTACGTTAAATTTCTGCTTCCCTTTTGATTAACAATTCCATCTTCAAGTTATTTCTCTTCTTATATTTTACTGTAATCATTCAAAAGAAGGCAAACCACACCTTTAATACTTTGCTTACAAATAGCTTCAGCCAGATACCCAATTTCCAATAGCATGTTCCTCATTTCTTTGTGAGAGATGAGGTATTCTCTAACAAAATTGAAGTCTCTAATTCTCTCTGAGGTATTCTCTAACAAGATTGAAGCTTTCTCTACAGCTCTCCACTTCTTCTGAGCCCTCAGGAGAAATTGCCCTTAACAGTCCATTCATGGCAATGTAGACTTTCTAGCATGCACCTCCAGACTCTTCCATCCTCTGCCCATTATATAGTTCGGAAACCACTTCCACGTTTTTAGGTATTTGTTACAATGGCACCCCCACTTCTTCTTATCCCAGTTTTGTGGCTTAGTATATGTTTGAGCTGCTATAATAAAATATCCCAAACTTGGTGGCTTATAAATAGCAGAAATTTATGGCTTACAGATCAGGAAGCTGGAAGTCTGCGATTCAGGTGCCAACATGGTTGGGTGAGGTCTCTCCCCTGTGTTGCAGGCTTTTTGTAACCTGAGGTAGTAGAAAGGCTAGGGAGCTCTGTGGGATCTCTTGTATAAGAGCACTAATCCCATTCCTGAGAGCTCCACCCTGATGATCTAATCACCTCCCAAAGGCCCCACCTTCTAATACCATCACCTTGGGGGGTTAGGATTTCAACATGAATTTTGGGGGGGGGACAAACATTTAGACTATAGCAATAGTATTCTTTTATTATATTTTTAATGTCTTTGGGTCTATAATGATATCTTCTCTTTCATTTCAGACATTGGTAATTTGTCTTGGTCATTTTTGCTAGAGTTATCACTTTTCTTAATCTTTTCAAAGAACATCTTTTGGTTTTAATGGTTTTTCTCTTATGTTCAGTTTCAGTCTCACTGATTTCTGGTCTT